TTCTTTGGATGTGCCCAAATTCTTTCCTCTCTCCTTTCACCATCCTTCTTTCCTAGGAGAGAAGAAGGAGAGTGAATGACTGTGTAAATGTTGGGAATTTATATCCTGGTTATTGTAAGCTCATTGAATGTAAATTTATTTGATGTACAAAGTTAGCTTATTTCTTTGGACTTTAGGAAATTAGAGAGTTCATTTGACTAGGGCTGCAAAACACAGTGGTTTCTGTTTGTGGCTTGAAAAACTCTTATTTCCTAGGGCATATGCTGCTATAATCTCTAAAGAGGAAGGAGGAATGGAAAGGAGAGAGAAGGTGAGAGGAGAAGGAAGAAGGAAGACAGCACAGAAAGTGCCCCAGGGCACAGAGGTTGAGGGTCACTGTTACTTTTGTATCACAGAAGTTTCCTTTCTTCCACAGCAACTCGAAGCAAGAAGAGGTAAAAAGGAAAAATCTCCAGTTTTTCCTTCCTGAGTGGGGGAAAAACAGTTTTTCACTGCCATCTTTCTCCCTTGTGTATATCCTTGATCTTCACAAAGAAATCCTCACTTCTGACAATTCCAGTCACCAGGTATGTGGAGGTTTTCTCCCATCAAGCAATTCTATGTGACACCAGCTGGATGTGTCAAAATTCTGACACAATCTACCCAGAGACAGTGGCAGCTTCCACAACTTAAGGGCTGGTTCCCTCCAAAGGGCCCCCCACTCCCCTTCAGACTCTATTTCAAGTCCAGCTAATACCTGTGCTTCTGGCTGTCCATCAGAGCTTTGATTACTTTGCTTGAGAGACTCACAGAACTCCGAGAAACATTGTACTATCTAGGTTAATAGCTCAGTTTACTATAAAGGATAAATTTACAATCAGATGGAAGAGGTACTGAGGAAAGTAGGGAGAACAGAACTCCAAGGACCTCACTGCATCTCCCTGTGACTTTCATCAGCAGTGACGTTCTCTGAATCTCATCCTGTTTGGTTTTTATGGAGGTTTAGCACATGAAGACAATTGTTTAGCTTATCTGCCATTGGTAATGAACTCAGTTTCCAACATATCACCCCTCCCCATAGGACAGAGGGTGAAACTGAAAGTCCCAACCTTTAAATCACATGCCTGGCTAACTGGGCGAACTGCCTCTGTCCTTAAGTGAATACAAAAGTCACCTTATTAGCATAAGGAAGGCACATCACTCTGAAACTTAGGAAACATGAAAGGCTTTAGACCTTTGGACACTGTAATCCAGGAACCCTGGATGAAGACAAAGTATATATGAGAAATATATTTTAGTCATCCAAATGATCAAATACATTTTTTTTTCTGGGCTCTCCCTAGTGGCGCAATGGTTTAAAACACCGCATTATGAAGTTCTCCAAAACACTGCAGCATGAATTTGATCCCCCACCAGGGAGCTGACCCACATGGTGCGGCAGACCTCTCCTGACCCACCCACTGCTCCCCTCAGCAGTGTATTTCTGTACATATGCCTGTTCTGCTCCCTAATGTTTCTGGGAGAATCTTCTCACCCACCACACCTATGACCTATGGCCTGTACCCCAGTTTTGTAAGCATACATAAATAAATCTTAATATATATACATATATATACATACGTATATACATATGTATATATATACATATATATGTATATATATGTATATATATACATATATTCTTATAAATTACAATTGCACAGTTAGTGAAGAGAGTTATTTCCTACCAATTCCCTCTATGTACCCGGTACATTTTAATACTAATGTAACAACTATAATACACTGAATGCTTTCTGATGCACAAAATTTTTGCTTACAGAGCTATTACAAATCATAAAATCTGTGCAACTCATTACCATCACGTTTTGTGGATGATGAAACTGAGGCTCAGAGATGTGAATGGTTTGTGACCTTGGCATTCTGTCACACAGCTCCAATTTAAAAAAAAACTGAACAGACTCCAAAACCAATTATACAAAATTCCACCTTCAATGTCCCACCCAGAGGAGTGTCTACATTATGGGAGTCTATGACTGTGTAAAAGGGGAGGAAACCATTGTGGCAGATGGCAGGAAGGATGTATAGGTCCTTGTTATATTATAGCATTAAAATTATGCCTCCTGAAGGCTGGCCTACTTTGTCTCTAACATGTGACAGCATAAAAGCTTCTCTTCTTTTAAGCAGAAGTACCTTTGTAGTGTGCATGAACATGGCCAACAAAAAGAGATCATAATGATGAGCAGAAACTGATAGATAGGAGAAATATACCTGGGATTTATTCAATATTAAGCTAGCATTTAAAAAAGATAACAAGCCAAACAGATTGAGGCATACACAAAAAAGTGGATCACATTTAAAAGACTGAAGAGAAGGTTCACTATAATAAGTAAATTTAAAAAGCACTAATTACCTTTCTCCAGAAAAACTAGATTGTTGAGCAAAACCATGTGAACATAGCTTTTGAACACTGATTTTCCACTCGTTTTCACTAGAGATTAATGCAGTAATTGTAAATAGAATATTTGAAATCTGTCTAGATATATAAACTATTAACTATAGATTAGTAATAATCTATAATTCATAAGGTTTATCATTATTGTGAAAGCATATTTTTAAGAAGGCTTTCATATTTCTTTTCAATGCACTTACTCTTATTGAATTTAATAATGTTAAACGTGGCTAAGAAAACTCATTCTGTTGAGCAACTTAAAGTCATAATTTGGAGAACTGAAATAGCTTCCCAATTTTTCCTTTATAACATCACACATATGTTTGCTTATGTGCAATGCTCACAAATAAGCACAAGTTGATTTTGCCCAGAGAAGGGGGAGGAGTTTCCTTTCTGGAGGCTGCTCTGTGTGGGAAGAGAAAAAAAAGGTTGCCACTCAAAGGTCCCAAAGGAATTCACTGAAGCCTCCTACCAGGTTTGGAAGTGCTGGTTATACTGGTCTCAAGCTGGTACAAGAAAGACACCATTCAGGCACCATCCGGCCTGCAGATACTGATACCAGGGATACAGGTGTGACCTTGTGACTCTGCAGCAGACTTAACCCATTCTTCTTTTAGTATCAGCAGAGATTACCATCTAAGGTATTGAGACACGCCTCACCTCTGTCATCTAGGCCCAGGAGACTGTAACCTTCTACTCTTCCAAAGTTAATGACTGGACCCAGGTTTTGCTGTACTTCCTTATGAGTAGATTGAGAGAGAGAATGAAGAGGAAGGAGAAAAGGAGAAAAAGGAAAGAGAGGAAATGCAGGGAAGAAGAGAGATGGGAGGGAAAGGTAAAGGCAAAAGAAAAAGAAAAGAAAAGAAAAGTTGTAATTCTGGTGCTGGGAAATGCGGAAGGCATATTCTGTGGAGTGTTTCTTTTATATCTGACAATAACTGAAGCCCTTAGGAAAGGTTGCTACTTTATCTGGCCTGTTCAATATGTGAAATTACACTATTTCATACTCTAGTGGCCTGAAAAAGTTCATTTACTATTTGAATGACATGGATGATGAAAAAATTATATCAAGTCCTGACACTTTACAATATTCAACTAACGTGTAGAATTTTTTGCTTAGGTGTGCTTTATTTTTTATTACTATCTGTGGAAAAGAAAAACAAAATAGTAAGGCTGTGTTAAGGATAGTGGAACTGCTGCTGGCTATGAGGCTGTCTCAGAATGAAAGTTAACATGGGGCCTTGATTCTAAGGGAAGAGAGAAGAATCAGAGGGAGTGGGTGGAAGTATAAAGGAGTAAGAAGGTGCCCAATGCCTGAGGTTCCTGTGCCCCAGTTTTATCTGGGGAGCAGTGACTTTCTATCCCACTACTTTGTGTTTCTTGAAATGCCTGCCCTCTCTACTAATGCTTTATGAGGCTTGAATGAGAATCTGAAAATTTACAGCTGATTTCTTCTACAAGTGACATTTCATTTCAAAATCAATTCACATTATTTTAGTGTCCCAAACAACCCATCTATCCAGAGGAATAAAAAAGTGCATAATAATTTGTTTAACTTAAACAATGAGGAGGAAGGGGCAGACATTTGACTTATATTTCACACGTACATACTTGTATTTCAAATATAAATTATGTTTATTGGACTTTGGACCTATAGAAATGCAACTGCTGTACTGAGTAGGCATGATTAGACACAGAGATTTTGCAAAAAGTACATAGGTCACTATAGACATAGATGAGCCCTTTAGTTATTTTGGAGACAAATACTGTTACCATCAGTAAGCTAACATTGGATACTGCCTTCTGTCTTTGGAAGCTGTGAGGAGGTCCTTGTTTTCCAGAAAATGTTTGGGGCAGAAACATGATTTCACCTCCTCATAACGATGTGATGAAGTAGAGCTAGCACTCAGCAAGATGTGCACAATGCACTCTCTTTATTTCCAGAAATACAGTTAACGAATAGAATAGCAGAGCAAATGAATTAAACACAAATACAAGTAAATGAATACAAAATACAAAATGAGATCTCTAAAGGTGCACTTGGTGAGTAGACTCCCATATCGCCAACAAGCCAGGAGACCACAGTGCACACTGAAGTTCAGATTCTAGCTTTAAGATGTTTAAAAACAACTACGTCTTGAAACTGCAAGTATATGTAAACAAAACTCTGTAAATGGTCAAATGCCTGAGGTTAACCATAGTGAATGTTGGCTCCAGTCTCTCCAAGGCACCCGCAGCTCACTCCAGGCCTTTAGAGCGGGCTCCCCTCTGCTGCGCAGCCAGGCACCTCTGACACCCCTCCACGTGCAGTATCTAACCACAGCATTCCTACCTTGTTTACTCCCCAAGGGGGAGGGAAACGAATAGTCAGGTGCGACCCAGCAGGGGGAGTGGGTGAGCTGGCCCCAGGGCAGCCCGAATATGTCCTTGGTGTGGGTGTGGGGTAATTTGGGTGGGAACGGCGTGGAGGCTACCACGAAGCCTCCTGCGCCTCGTTGGTGGGGTGTGTGCAGAAAGACCGAGGATAAATAGGAGGCGTCCCCCCTCCCAGCTACACTCACCGAACCGACGGGCCGCCAGCCCTGCCTTGTAGCCAGGGTGCCAGCCCGAGGAGTAGTTTCGTTTCCTTCTGGCTCCGGGATTAGTTTCCAGGCACCTGGTCCGGCGTCGGTGGCCGGGAAAAGGGGTACAAGGGGAGGCGGGAGACTTGTCTAGGGGCTGCGGAGCCCCGCACGGCGGGGTTGATGGACCTGGCCGCTCCGGGCAGCGGCTCCAACTTCCTGTCGCTGCTCCTGGCCCTCGCCCTGGGTAAGTGGCCGCGCCGGGCACTGGACACCCAGGAGGAAAGTCTGGGGAGGCGCCTCGGGGAGAGCTACCCCAGATCTGCCTTGGCAAGTACACCCGAGGGCGCACAGGGGTAGGCAGGGGAGTCTGGGGAAACGGGCGACCCGAAAAGCGCGAGGTTGAGAGGCCCGAAGTTGTGCACCTGGGGCTGCACCTGTTGGAGTGTGGGGCGCTGTGAGGGCGGAAGGGATCCCCGGGCCGGGCGCTGGTGCTGACGCCGCGGGCGCTGGACGTTGCGGGCGCCGGACGCGGTGCAGCCCGGCGCCTGACACCTGTGCGCTCCGGGCGGCGGGGGGCGCTGTGCTCCGGAGAAGTGGTTGGAGGGAAATTCACCAAAGAAGGAGCTGGCCCAGTGGACTTGGACGCCTCCCTAGGCTTCACCGCAGGAGGCAGAGGAAAGGGACCGCCTTCGTTTAAGATTCGGGCCTGGAGTTCCAAGCTAACGCAGAGAGCTGTTTGCCTGGTGTGTGGGTGTTGAGTGTGCGTGAGAGGTGGATGGGGGGGGGCCCTGCAGATACAAGCACTGCCCGTGGCCTAGGAATTGATTATTCTATTAATTGCTGGGGCAGTTGGAAGGAGCATGAGGAGAAAACAATATGCAATTGAGAGACCTGAATCTCCTACTGCTGACAGAGGGAGGGGAAGGCTAGGGAAATGCCATATTTTACTGAGGGCACTATCCCTGGCATGCTTAGATGTTTTACTTGGAGTACATTATTTCCTATTTTAAGGGGAAATGCTGGAGAGGAAACGTTTCTTCACCTTGAAGATTAAGTGGGGCTGTAGGGTAAGGACCACTGGCTGTAGACCCCTGGTTTGAGGGAGGAGTGTTCAGTGGGAGAAGTGCCAGAAGGTCAGGTAGGGATTGAAAGGGCAGAGATACAGTTTACCTCCTTGGGAATTAATACTGGCAGAGGAGGAGACTAAAGCGCCAGGTTACGGGGAAAGTTTATGCAGCTGCATGCAGGGCTTCAGCCATATTTAGGGTAGTGACAGAAGGGAAATCAGTTATAGTTTGTTTCCTATCCCAGTAGTAGTAGCTGGGATAAAGGTTAGGCAGACACGGACTGGGGTTATTAATACAGAAGAAAAGTGTCTCCTAAGCTGAAGTGTCTACATGATAACCCCCTACCTTCAAATCTGAGAGAGGGTGGCATTTCTCTTACAGCGTGAAAAGAAATGGAATATAAATGGAAACTTATATTGGGTAAAAGAAATGGCTAAAAAGGTGGTGTGGTCTTGGTTGGAAATGGATAGAACCGTGGGCAGAAGAGTGATTTAACAAGTCAGCAGAGGAAGGAGTCAGTGACTACTTAGGGCAGAGTGAAGTAGAGACTAACCAGCGGCAATGGCTCTGAGATTGAGGCCTAGGAAGAGTCATAATGTTTTCGGCAGCATCATTTGGATGAAACTGATGTTCCCTTGCTTGTCCTTGTGCGATTTGTCCCACAGAGTATTGAGAATCTGCAGCAGTGGGCAAGAGGCTGAAGTGTGTGGGGGTGGGAGCGGGAAGAAGACTGGAGAGATTCTTAAGATGTGATTCCTAATGCCTAAAAGATGCTCTGTTGAACTGGGGCTGCAAGACTGATGACTGTGATACAGCAAGAGCAAAATACAGGAAACCATGAAAAGGGAGAGCTCAATAGCAAAGAACAGAGCCGTGGGGAAAAGCTGCTTGGAGGACATGAGTGATGCTTTGAAGCTTGGATGAGATTCGAAATAGGGAAGTGGGAGGGATGGTAGATAAAGGTAGGGCATTTAGTAAAGATTTGGTGATGAGAATGGGAGAGATTTACTGGGGAGGTCAGCCTGCCAGAAAGTAGAGTTTATGAGGGGCAAACACTCTGAAGAGACAAAATAAAACCAGATTACAATATCTAGATTTAAAAAAAGATTTATTTATGCATACAGAACTGGGGTACAGGCCAGAAGTGCAGGGGCAGTGAGAGGCTTCACCAGAGACAGAATGGGGAGCAGAACAGGCAAGTACACTGCTGAGGGGAGCAGTGGGCAGGCTAAGAGAGGTCTGCAGTGCCATGTGGGTCACCTCCGGGACGGGGGATCGAACTTGTACTGAAGTGACTGTGGCCACCTGCAGTGCTGAGCTTTAGCCAGCTGTGCCGCCTGGGAGGGCCCAAAATACCTGGATATGAATCCATAAACAGTGGAACACACACCATTACAGGTCTTGAACATCGAAGTGATTTAATGCGAACAGTGATGCAACGAGAGGAGTGTAGGAGAGGAGGTGACTATCCCCCGGGAAGATATGTTTGTCTCATCGGTGTAATTCAGGCCTGGATTAGGATGTCAGCAAGAATGTTACAGTTGAAGTGATTTTTCCAGGCTGATGGACATTCTTCTTGTTACTATCAAAATCTTTCAGCTGGCAGAAATAAAACACACACACACACACACAAAACTCTAATCCAATGGTCTTATGCACTCAAGGTCACATAAATGTACAACTTCCTTGTTGAATGTTTGAGTCAGGAGACTGAAAAAACTCCACCTTCTAAATTGCCAAGGATGTGATTTGCTAGCAACAGCATTGTTACTATAAAGTGGTCCTTTCTTTTATAAGCTGTATGTTTATGTCTAATTCTTAATTGAAGTCACATGTCATTTCAGTAACTTTTTGGAAAGGATGTGAGCAAGGAGCCATGGAATGCACTGGCACATGAATGTATGTTTTTGTGTGTGCATGTGTGTGTGTCACAGTGGAAAGTGTCTTGGAAACTGACACTAAGCAGAGATGAGGTGTGACCCACCTCCGCCAGGTCTGTGACTCTGAGATATCTGTAAGCTACAGCTTCCTGGGCACTATTTTTCTTGATTCTAAAATGAAGAATCTGTTTCAAATAAGACAAGTAGTATTTTTTAGTTTATGAGGGCATTAGGAGGTTTTTTCCATCTTCAAAGGTTCTAGATTTTACAGGCCACACTTGCATATTAAGTAGTGTTGCTAGTCACTTTTTGCTATTACTCCATGCTCAAATGGGCAGAAATTCCTAAATCTAGAAGATTGTAAACAGGCTTTTCTGTATATTTACTGAAGGTCCCTCTACTCACAGCCTTTCGATGTCTGTGCCCAAGTTGAAGGTCCTCAGGATAGAAGGATAGAGAACACTTATATCTCTCCAAAGGGCCCAGGCCTCTGTCTCTGCCCCATCTCTGCTGACACCATTTATTTACCCCATGTGCATAGAGCCTGGTGGGAAAATTCTTTTTTTCTTATCCTTTTATTATAGATAAAGGATATCCTTTTATTGTAGATAGTTCATGCCAGGACACAGACATGAATGTCACTGATAGGCCGGGAGAGGAGAAAGTCAAAGTACAGGCAGCAGTCGGTACCTGGAGTTCCTCTCTGATCCAGGAAACATGCTTATGAGCTTCCTCATTGCGTTGAGTGTCTTTCCAGGAGTTTTCAGACAGGCTAATATCTGGACTGCATGTGGTTTAGGATTAAACCATCACCTATATGCTTGTCCAGAATTGCTAAGTTACATCCCTGGATTCAGACAGAATTTGTAGACTAGTTTATCAGGAGTTATCCAAAATAAAACTTAAGAGGAAAGCAATCTGGTTAAAATGAGTATGCTAAAATGGGTACTTTTGTTCAGATTTGACATTTTTTACATGTAACATATTATTTATCTGATTGGTAAACTAGAGGCATTGATTACAGATCAGTGACCAAAGTTACAGTATTTGTATACAGTCTTTTTATTTCAATGTGCAAATTGATTGTATAGTAGGATGCTTGACTACTACATTATTTCCCTCTTTGAAAAATCAGGGTTTTATGCCTTCATTTAGGCTTATTTAATTTTGAGGGGATGCATGGTAGATGGCAGGAGTGCAAAATATATTAGTTAAATGAATGAATGTAAGTGACTGTTCATGAAAATGATCGGTTATTAAAAAACAGAAACAGAGCAGATTCATTAAACATTCTTTTTTGACTAAACACACCCAAAATTCAAAGTTGTTATAGGACATGTGTCTTTATGGTACTTGCTTCCAGAATTTGTGGACAATCTTTCATAAAAGAACTTTTGTTTTCCAAGTAGTAAGTCTACATTTTCCTCTTATATCCTTTGTTAGGGATTTAGAATTGCTTCTTTTCTCCATATGTTTTGTTCTAGGGTAGATCTCATTAACCAAAATATAGGCACTTAAAAATAAATGTTTAAGGGAGGCGGGTAAGGGCATCGGACTCTCCAAGGCTTCAATTAAGGAAAACCTTTGAATTCTTGCAGTTGTGAGGTGATTTACTTTCTAGTTTGATTATAACTTTTCCATCACATATGCTTTTCATTAGCTGCATGTAACCATGCTGTATTCATGGGTTTCTGATTAGCATTAAGTAGAATTGATACTTTGGTGACTCCTGTAGAAGCTGAAACAGATCTGCTGTGGAGACTTACCACAGTCTTTGTTAGCATGGATGATTTCCCAACTAGTCTATATTATGTATAAATATTTTACAGCTATCAACTGTCCAGATTTCTTCGACAGCTAAATGGTTAGATTTCAGCTCATACTGTTGCATATGTCCTCAATGTTCTAGAATGAGCCACACAGTCCACAGCTTTCCAGAGTAGCAGAGTAGCATCCTTCCCAGTAGCAAGACTGAAAAGTCATCGTCAGAGCTGAATGAGCCACCTTTGCGGGACCCAGATGTGATTTGTGTAGGATCACCTTCCTGCTGATATCTATTCTGAGCTTCTGACACTCTGCTGTTCCAGTCTCCTAGGATGACTGGCACAAGATGTTGCTATGTACTCAGATACCTGCTTGATGATAATATCACTTTACATTTTAGGGCCTTTTATAACTGAAAAAGCATTTCCATATCATTATCTCATTTGATCTTTACGCTAAAATTAACAGCAGCAAAGTTTGTGTTCTGCATGCCAGGCATTATCCAAAGTGTGTTATAACTCATTCCATGCACA